GAATGAACAACAAATAAATAAATAAATAAATATAGCCCTGTACTATTGTCCAAACGCTTGGTTCCATAGCCAGTCACTGTGTCTGCAGGCATGCAGCCGGGGGAGGGGGGGCTTTAGGGGCTTCAGCCCCCCCCCCCCAAAATTCTCATGGTGGTTCACGAAAAGGCCTTACTGGTGCTTTATTTAGACTGTTATGTTTATTCATATCATGATCTGATCACCATAATCAATATATCCCATATGCATGGGGGTATTGGGGTAACGATACAAAAGGTTTGCTAGGGTAGACCCTCTTTCACTCAGACTCAGCCCCCCCCCCCCAAAACAAACTCAGCCCCCCCCCCCAATCGAAATCCTGGCTACGGGCCTGCTGTGTCTGGTTGTGATCTCCAGGTTGTGCCAATCAGTTTTCCTACGATACTATTTCCAGCACCCACTTTTTGCTTGATAGATAAGCAGTGCTTCTTGACTTCTTGGTTGGGCATGACTGATCCACACTGCACAATGAATACAACATGACTTTGGCTGAACTGCCTTGGGCTCAATGTTATGGACTTCTGGGAGAGATCGTTTTGCAAGGTTTTCAAGCCAAGCGATCACTGCCACAGAGTTGATGGTGCCTCCCTGAAGTCCACACCGGCAAGATTGCTTCTTTCTTCTTCTTTCTTAGGCGATCCCTCGTTTTCCGAGGAGGATTGTCTTCCAGTGTTCTTGTGGGTCCGTATGTGGCTGCGGAGCCCTATTCTTGACCTGCATCTTCTTCCGCAGTGAGGGCATTGGTTTCCAGGTGGAAGGCGATCTCGGTCGGGGTTGGCTTGACGTGCCTTTCTCTTGACACGCTTCTCCCTTTCTCCCTCCATTTATGTGTCTTAAAACTCTGCAGCACTGCTGGTCACAGCTGACCTCCAGCTGGAGCACTCAAGGGTCAGGGCTTCCCAGTTCTCAGTGTCTATGCCAGAATTTTTAAGGTTGGCTTTGAGCCCATTTTTAAATCTCTTTTCCTACCCACCAACACTCCGTTTTCTATTCTTGAGTTCGGAGTAGAGCAACTGCTTTGGGAGACAGTGGTCGGGCATCCGGCGGAGGACCATCACTTCAATGCTGGTGTTCTTTGCTTCTTCCAGCACGCTGACGTTTGTCTGCCTGTCTTCCCAAGAGATTTGCAGGATTTTCTGGAGGCAGCGCTGATGGAATCGTTCCAGGAGTTGTATGTGACATCTGTAGACAGTCCACGTTTCGCAGGCATATAGCAGGGTTGGGAGGACAATAGCTCTATAAACAAGCACCTTGGTATCCCTATGGATGTCCCGGTCCTCAAACACTCTCTGCTTCATTCGGAAAATGCTGCACTCACAGAGCTCAGGCGGTGTTGTATTTCAGCGTCGATGTTGACTTTTGTGGAGAGGTGGCTGCCAAGGTAGCGGAAATGATCAACATTTTCTAATGTTACACCATTAAGCTGTATCACTGACATTGGAAAGGGGTTGGCTGGTGTCTGCTGGAACAGCACCTTGGTTTTTTCAATGTTAAATGACAGGCCGAGCTTCTCGTATGCTTCTGCAAAGGTGTTTAGAGTGGCTTGTAGATCTTCTTCTGAATGCGCACAGAAAACGTTGCCATTAGCATACTGGAGTCCTATAACAGATGTTGTTGTAACCTTGGTTTTGGCTTTCAGTCTGCTGAGGTTGAATAGCTTGCCATCTGTCTGATAGATGATTTCCACTCTGGTGGGAAGCTTCCCATCAACAAGGTGAAGTATCATAGCAATGAAGATGGAGAATAAAGTTTCTTTATTTATTTATTTACTTCATTTATATACTGCTTTTCTCAGCCGTTAGGCGACTCAAAGCAGTTAACAACAGCAAAATTCAATGCAAACCATCATAAAACGATTATGGGATAGTTAAAACAATAACATCATGACCAACAGAAAATACTTAAGGCCATCCAGTCCAACTCTCTTCACATCCCTGTTTGACACCGGATTCCACCTTAAATGGGCCACTTTGGGAGCCATTGATGTCCAAGACTGTTGCCATCATGTCATCATGGAGGAGCCGCAGGATGTTCACAAATTTGTCAGGACACCCGATTTTTTGGAGGATGGTCCAGAGAGCGCTGCGATTCACTGTGTCGAATGCCTTTGCAAGGAGTCTGACTTGGCCACGGTAGTCCATGCTCTGGTTACATCCCGTTTAGACTCCTGCAACGCTCTCTACGTGGGGTTGCCTTTGAAGACGGCTCGGAAGCTCCAACTAGTCCAGCGTTCGGCAGCCATGATACTAACAGGAGCGGAGCGCAGGGAGCATACAACTCCTTTGCTGCACCAGCTCCACTGGCTGCCGATTTGCTACCGGGCTCAATTCAAAGTGCTGGCGTTGGCCTATAAAGCCCTAAACGGTTCTGGCCCAAGTTACCTATCCGAACGTATCTCTGCCTATGAACCCACCAGGACTCTAAGATCTTCTGGGGAGGCCCTGCTCTCGATCCCGCCTGCATCACAGGCACGGCTGGCGGGGACGAGGGACAGGGCTTTCTCTGTGGTGGCCCCTCGGCTGTGGAATGCCCTTCCCATGGACATTAGATCAGCCCCTTTGCTAATGGTGTTTCGAAGAAAACTAAAAACCTGGCTGTTTGAACAGCCGTTCGGATAAATAGTGCAAATGATATCGAGCTGCTTTTAGTAGGGTCTCCCAGCGGAGGAGATCCCTGAGGACCGCTCAAAAGGGCCCTGGACCTTTGGTGAGGCCAGCGAGAGCCAATCCAAAGAGAAAAAAATATTACAAATAATAATGCCTCATTAAAGTGGAAGAAGTATTTCAGCAACCGAGGTTTATTTGTGATTCAGCTGAGATCAGATGCATTGCAGGAATCATTCCGCTGCAAGCATGGTTTTACAGATTTTTCCAAGCATTTTATAGGGTTCAGACAAAGGGAAACAGTTTCAAAAATCCCGCCCGCCCTCTGCCGGCCGGCTTCGTCCTGATTGGCTGGCCGCGGAACAGCTGGGAGGAGGCTTGGCGGCACGCCTCGCCTCCTGTCCAATCAGCGGGCTCTGCCGCCTCTAGGGGGCCAATCAGCGCCTTCCCAGCGCCTCGGAAGATGGACCAATCGGCAGCCAGGAGGCGGGACGAAGCCTGACAAAGACTGAGGAAATGACAGCCTTGAGGGCATCCGCCAGCTGGTATGTGAGGCTTTTGTCCTTACATGGCGGGGTGTCAGATATGGGAACAATGGGCTTCCTGGTCTGTGATGGGATTTGGGAGGAAGTATGAAAAGAAGCTTTCGGCAATATTGGACCTCAAAAAAGGGGGGGATCAACAATATCCAAAATGATTTAATCAGTCTTTTCTTCCTGAGTTTCTGTTGACTCCCCCTCCCCTCACTGTCTGCTCTGAAAGTCAGGATCGGGAGGAAATCAACAGCGCGGCCCATGCAAATGTAAACAAGGACAGTTTCGGGAGGACAAAGGAGTTCCTCTCTACGGCAGTAATCCCCAGGTCACATTCTTTTTGGGGCAAGGGTCAGAGGGAAAGGCGGGAAGGGGAATCAGAGTACATTCCATATGATATTTCATTATATACATTCCATACATTTCATATATTTCATGAACAAAATCCCATCCCCATCCCCAGCAAAGTTTATTGAAAATAGTCGATTTATTTTATTATTTGAAGAAATCATAGTCTTCTTGATGAAGGCGCACGGAGGCTGAGGCTGCTTGCCCTTCAAGGCAAGCCTGGTCTGAAGTTTGTGTCCAAAGATGCAGCAGGAAAACAGTCCGGGACAGGGGGCAGAAAGTCAATAGGAGAGGGCAAAAGAGTCCGAAGCGGATTTCCGGGTTGCAATTGATGGGGCAATGTCCTTTGGCAAACTACATCTCCCTGGTCAGTGGCCGGGACCCATGCCTGGCCGCCTCCCCGGGACTCCTGCGGGTGGCCGCAGTGGGTCCCTGGTTGCTGGATCCAGGCAGGGAGCGAGCAGCGCTGAGGAGAAACGGGCTGTCTTGGAAGAACCCGGCCAAATTGACAAACAGCTGATTTCTGTCAAATAATAATACTTTAAACAAAATGATTATTCCCCGAGCGCAGGAGTCCAAAGTGAGGAAAGCGAGATGGCAGTTAGTCTTAGAATTAATAGCAGAAAAATACAAAATTAGAACGGCGTCAATCCGCCATTTTACTGTTTTAGTGGTTACTGGGGTCCAAAATGTCGGTTCCGGTATCCACGATTTTTGCTGAACGCAGATCCGGGGTCCGGGGGGGCCAGTAGGCGCCCCCCAGCAGGCTCACGGCTCTCCGGAGCCTGGAAAAAGGTTTATTTTAATGTTGAATTAATCTGAGGCAGGGAAAGATACAAAAGTATCAAGCGGAAAGATTAAACGTTGCAAGTTTTCAAGTACTTTTATTAGGGCTTGTTACAAGGTAGGGAAAGGGGAAAGCAAGGGAAAGCAAAGAAAGGCTGCGGGCATTCTTATTATTGAGCTGCCTGCTGGGGCACATTTCATCAGTTTCTTCCAATTGTGACAGCCAGGAACTGCGGAACTCTCCGCTGCAGTGCAGGCCAATCGTTGGCGGGGGCCCTCCGCCATCACAATGAACTCGATGAATATAGGAAACGGAATTATGGATGACGAATTGGATCACGATTTTAGTTACGAGACGTTAATGTGTTGTTATTGAGATGTCATTAGTTTGTATTTTATACTGTTAATGGTTTGAATATTGTATGTTGTTGGATTGTCTTTTGCTCTTGTTGTGAACTGCGTTGAGTCGCCTAGGGGCTGAGAAACTGCGGTATACAAGCAAAGTAAATAAATAAGGAGTGGAGCCCCCTCGATGGACTGTCACCTTGTCGTGGTGAGGGGGATTGCGTGTTCCGATGAACCTGTAGGCACCCGCAAGACTGCAAAGCCCTGAGCGCCCAACTCCATTGATTCTCCCAGCAGGGAGGCGCGAGACCCTCAAGCCCCGCCCCCTGGAAGCCCGGTGCGGTGACGCGGCCGGATGACGTCACGCGGCAGGGCTCCTCAGGCGGCGGAGCTGGGAGCGTGCGAGAGAGGGCGAGCCATGGCCTGGGAAGGAGCCGCCGAGGGTGAGGCTGAGGAGGGAGGCGAGGAGGAGGCGGGAAGGGGCGGCGGCGCCCCCTGAGCACCCGTGAGGGGCCTGCGTGCTTTCTCGTCAGGAGGGCGTGACCTGGGAGGGGGGCTGCTCGCCTTGTTTTGGGGATGAGGCCCCTGTCAGCCTGTGGGAGGGAGGGAGCCAGCCAAAGGAGCAGCAGGACAGGCACCCCTTTCTGGCATCCTATCCTCTCTGCTCCTTTGGCCCTTGGAGCCACGAAGCCCCAAAGAATCTCGGGCGAAGGATGGGATTGGGTACTTCATCAAACTAAAGAATGAATCCACTTTGAATCCGGTTTCTGCCCTTTGCTGTTCAAGCCTCCTCTCTAAACTACAAACCCCAGAATTCTGCAGGAGGCAGAAACCAGATTTAAAGTGGATTCATTCTCTAGTGTAATGAGGTCCCTGCTCCTGGCAGCTGGGCCAGCAGAACAGGGCAGTTGCCCTTCAAGAGATCAGGAGAGTCCCCTGTTATGGAGGAAGCTGATCCTCGCTATTTAATACACAAATCCCTGCTTTTCTATTTTGAACAGGATGCTTTCACAGCCCTAAAAGAGATGCTCAGTTTTCCTCAAAGCTATTCAATTGTACACATGTTTTGTCCTTTTTAAAATATATATTTTATTGGTTTTTATTTTGCAAGTTTACATTAAAAGCAAAAGTTGGGGGGTGAAGGGAAAGGTGGGAAGTTGAAAAGGGAGGAGAAGAAAGAAAAGGAAAGAGAAAAAAAAGGAAAAGAGGGGAGGGGGGATACTGGGGTGGGGAATGGGGCAGATCGGGTACTTCCAGGTTCACCCAGGGTGACTCATATATTGCTACATTTTCATACACTTGTAGTTTTGTATGTATAGTGTATTCTTTTATTTATTTGTCCGTGTATATACACATGCTACAGCATACATATTTGTTTCCTTGCTTGCATCACTTATCAACTTCTTGTTTGTATAGTCCTTGGATTTCCATTACAGGTCCATTATATACATCTCTTTATTTTCCCCTTTTATGAAATCTAACACTACTTTCCAGTCCACATGTTTTGTCCTGATTTTCCAACTCTCATATTTGGTATGGTTTCCTGGTTCTGTCCTTTGAAGGTTGCATTTTGATGTGTTTTGCTTACCTTGCTGCCTGTTTGCTTTGATGCTAGTCACTGGCTGATTTGTTTAATGTCCTGGCCGATGCTTCAGCACCCATGAATTCAGAAGGTGCTGCCTGCCACCAAAAAGCAGCAGCCACATACTTTTTAAATAATAGATCCAGGGAAGTGAGAGCCGTTCAGCAGTGGAACTCTCTGCCCCAGAGTGTGGTGGAGGCTCCTTCTTTGGAAGCTTTTAAACAGAGGCTGGATAGCCATCTGCCAGGGGTGATTTGAATGCAATATTCCTGCTTTTTGGCAGGAGGTTGGACTGGATGGCCCATGAGGTCTCTTCCAATGATTCTATGATTCTATGAAGTAATGCTAGCACTATCTATCTATATATCTGTAATTTTAAAAAAAGTAATAAAGATTATTTTTTTAAAAAAAAAGAAGAGAAGGCTGAGAGGAGATATGATAGCCATGTATAAATATGTGAGACAAAGTCACAGGGAGGAGGAGCAAGCTTGTTTTCTTCTTCCTTGGAGACTAGGGAATTGTTATATTGTAGTTTTATTGTGGCCTTGGCCTTTGTAAGCCGCATCGAGTCCTTCGGGAGATGCTAGTGGGGTACAAAGTTAATAATAATAATAATAATAATAATAATAATAATAATAATAGGACGCGGAACAATGGCTTCAAACTACAAGAAAGGAGATTCCATCTGAACATGAGGAAGAATTTCCTGTCTGTGAGACCCGTTCAGCAGTGGAACTCTCTGCCCCGGAGTGTGGCGGAGGCTCCTTCTTTGGAAGCTTTTAAACAGAGGCTGGATAGCCATCTGTCAGGGGTGATTTGAATGCAATATTCCTGCTTCTTGGCAGGGGGTTGGACTGGATGGCCCATCTTCCAACTCTTTGATTCTATGATTCTATGAAGTCATGCTACCCCTCTATTCCGCCTTGGTTAGACCACACCTAGAATACTGTGTCCAATTCTGGGCACCACAATTGAAGAGAGATATTGACAAGCTGGAATGTGTCCAGAGGAGGGCGACTAAAATGATTAAGGGTCTGGAGAACAAGCCCTATGATGAGTGGTTTAAAGAGCTGGCTATGTTTAGCCTGAAGAAGAGGAGGCTGAGAGGAGATATGATAGCCATGTATAAATATGTGAGAGGAAGTCACAGGGAGGAGGGAGCAAGCTTGTTTTCTGCTGCCCCGGAGACTAGGACGCGGAACAATGGCTTCAAACTACAAGAAAGGAGATTCCGTCTGAACATGAGGAAGAATTTCCTGACTGTGAGAGCTGTTCAGCAGTGGAACTCTCTGCCCCGGAGTGTGGTGGAGGCTCCATCTTTGGAAGTTTTTAAACAGAGGCTGTATGGCCATCTGTCAGGGGTGCTTTGAATGCCATATTCCTGCTTCTTGGCAGGGGTTTGGACTGGATGGCCCATGAGGTCTCTTCCAACTCTATGATTCTATGATAATACCTAGAAACTTCTGGGGGGAAAAAACTCTAGTACTTCAAGGATCTTGTGGAGCTACACATTTCTGTTGCTCCCAAGATTGCCAGAGTCACCTTTAACAGTTGTGTAGAAGAGGACGTTTCAACAGATGAGAGAAATAGATAGACAGGCAGACCTATCTTAGAGCTTCCTCTTCTTTCTCCATGATGGGTGTGGCCAGGTCAAGGAATCAGCCAGAGGCCAGGTTGTGCCATGAGAGCTCTCTGGCTCCATCCACACTACCATACAATGATATTTCAAACTGCATTATATAGCAGCATAGATGGGAGCTCTGCAAGGCACTTCTATGTAAACTGCTTGAACACACACCAGACTTCATCTATGCCACCAGCATAGATGAAGTCCGGTGTGAGTTCATGCAGTTTGCATAGAAGCTCCTTGCAGGGGCCTGATGTAGAGTGATGCCTTGAGAGGGGATCAGATGAGGACAGCAGGAAGGACAAGATGGGAGTTGCTGAGAAGAGGAGACTTTGGAACAAGGGTCAGGGAGGGACAGCTGTTGTTTCTGAGCCCCAGAGGAGGACCCAGGTGGACCAATCCCTGCCCACTCCTAAGCTTTGGGCCAATGCCACCCAATGAGGCTCTGCAGGTCTTTTTTTCCACCTCAAATGGAATAGGTATTTAACGCAGGTATTTCAAGCAGCCTGGGGTTGCTTAATAGCCTGGATCCATTCCAGCCACACGTGCTTCCAGCGAGCCAAACTCAAGGTCATCTGTGTATAAACAGAGAGGATCATCTTCACAGGGATTGGGTTTTGCTGTAGCATAAAAGGACCAGGCTGATGTTTCAGTCAATTGTAAGGTGGGTTGCTGGTAAGAAACAGGGTAGAAAGTGGTGAGTTCTGTGATAGTTGGAGGTCATTTCTAGTGGGAGCCTGTTTTCATAGCTATTTGGGGAATGTAACCTGTGCTCCCAAGGAGAGAATGGTGTAGATTAACTAAGAAGCTGGATGCCAACTTCAAATTGAGGAGGTTAGTGGGCTCTTCCCTTTGCTCTATCTTTAGTATCCATGCTAGACAATGTGTTGCTAACTTAGAAAATAGAAACATAAAGATGGGTTGGCACATGTTCTGGAGGAGAATAGTTACTTCCACCATTATCACCATCTTTTTTTAAAAAATATTTTTATTGAGAATAGAGGTGGGCAGATAAGAAAGGAGCAGATAAATATAGTGATAGCAGCACTAAAATGATCAAGGGTCTGGAGAACAAGCCCTATGAGGAGCGGCTTAGGGAACTGGGAATGTTTAGCCTGAAGAAGAGAAGGCTGAGAGGAGATATGATAGCCATGTATAAATATGTGAGAGGAAGCCACAGGGAGGAGGGAGCAAGCTTGTTTTCTGCTTCCTTGGAGACTAGGACGCGGAACAATGGCTTCAAACTACAAGAGAGGAGATTCCATCTGAACATGAGGAAGAACTTCCTGACTGTGAGAGCTGTTCAGCAGTGGAACTCTCTGCCCCGGAGTGTGGTGGAGGCTCCTTCTTTGGAGCTTTTAAACAGAGGCTGGATGGCCATCTGTCAGGGGTGCTTTGAATGTGATTTTCCTGCTTCTTGGAAGGGGTTGGACTGGATGGCCCATGAGGTCTCTTCCAACTCTATGATTCTATGATGATATTATTATTATTACTTTATTTGTACCCCGCTAGCATCTCCCGAAGGACTCGATGCGGCTTACAAAGGCCAAGGCCTCAAAACACAACATAACAGTATTTTTCCTTTGTTACATAAAAAGAGTGAGAACAATATGAGAATAGGAAAGATATAAAATTTTGAGAATTTATAATAAAGTTAAGTCAAGTGTAAAGGAAAAGCAAATTAACAAAAAAAAATGAGAAAGCACTTCAAGGTTGTCTCAGGATGTGGATTTCTTTTATTTTACTCATTGTTGTTTGTTTTCATCGTCGGATTCTTAAAGATTGTTCCATCGAGTTTCGTTTATGTTTTCATAACATAGCTTCCTATGTTTTCCTCTTTTATACCGAACAGGGTATAGGGTTACAGCCTGTGTTGGATGGGGTCGCACTCCCCCTGAAGACACAGGTTCGCAGTTTGGGTGTGATCCTGGACTCATCGTTGAGCCTGGAACCCCAGGTTTCAGCGGTGACCAGGGGAGCATTCGCACAGTTAAAACTCGTGCGCCAACTGCGCCCGTACCTTGGGAAGTCTGACTTGGCCACGGTAGTCCACGCTCTGGTTACATCCCGTTTAGACTACTGCAACGCTCTCTACGTGGGGTTGCCTTTGAAGACGGCCCGGAAGCTCCAATTAGTCCAACGCTCGGCAGCCATGATTTTAACAGGAGCGGAGCGCAGGGAGCATACGACTCCTCTGCTGCACCAGCTCCACTGGCTGCCGATCTGCTACCGGG